CCCGTGCCCATCCCCTGGAAATCCCACCTGCTCTCCAGAGCCGTGTCCATCTGCCCTGAGCCTCACCTGTGTGCGGTGGCCGCTCGGGGCGAGCGCTGGATTGTCCTTGCTGCTCACTGTGGCTCAGCAGTAAGAGGTGAGGGAGCAGGAGGAGCCCACAGACATTTGGGCATCGCCTGACTGTGGCAGCGCTGGAATGTCCTGCTGACAGCTGAGCTGGGAGCGGGGGGACACCCCTGGGTGGGCCAGGGAACTGGAGCCACGTGCGCCAGGGCTCGGGACGACATTCCGGACAGGCAAAACACTCCGGAGCTCTTGGGCAATCAGCGATCCAGGAAAACAACTGCTGCTTTGTCCAGGCTCCTTTCCCCTCCAGCCTGGCCCACCCCTGTCAACCACCTGCCTGCCCAGGCTGGGGCTGGCGGTGAGAGGGCGACGGGTGCTGCTCCCCAGAGCTCCCAGTCCCACTGCTCACATGGGAAAACACACAGGAGGAGGCACAGGGGCTGTGAGGAGGTGCTGCCAGGGCCGGGGTGCTGTGGCACACCGGTGTCTGGCAAAGGAAAGGTGCTCATGGCAAGGGGCAAGGCAGGGTGCGTCAGAGCCCCAGCCCTGCCAACAGCCTGGCACGGGGAAAAGGGCCAGGGCAGTGCCTGGGAGCAGTGGGGAGGATGGAAAAGTCCCAGGCAGGTTCCTGCCAGGGCCACGCTGTGTCCTGCAGCCAGGCAAGGACAGTGTGTGCCCCCAGCCCTGCCAGGTGTGCTCCCCAGCACACGCCGAGGGACGGGCTGTGCCAGGCTGTGCCAGTCCCCTGCACCCTGAGAACACAGAGCCCACCTGCTGCTTAGGGGTGACACGGCACACACAGCCCAGGCAGGGACTGGGACTGGAGGGGATGGTCACTCTCACCCCCAGACCAGCCCCAGCAGATCCTGGAGGATATCAGCCAACCCAGAGCTGCAGAGGCAGCTACTCAGCCTCCTGTAATGAGCAGGGCACTCTGAGGGGAGAGAACCCTGCCTCATGCTAAAACTATGCTAATTAGGAGCTAATTACGTGCACATCCATATCAGACCCGTGGCCAACCTGGAGGCTGCAGCCACCCCAAACCTCTCCCAGCCTGGCACGGCCTGGGCAGGGGAGACATTGTCAGTAAAGGGGGTGGATGCCAAGCCCTGGGGGAGCCAGGGTTGCTCAGTACCCTGACATGAGCTGCACAGGGCCCTGGGCACTCTCCTCAGTCAGAGGGGACAGCAGCAGAGGCTCCAGTGTCCTCCTGCCACCCGAGAACACGTCCCCAGGGAGCTCTGCTCTGCCAGGGGCCAGGGAGGGGGAGCATGGGGGGCTCCTGTGGCACAGAGCCCACACTCGGCCCTGGGTGAGCCAAGCTCAAAGCCAAGCCAGGTTTCCATGACCCGCTGGGGTCTCCTCGTGGAGAGCCAATTCAGACATCTGTGAGCTTTGCATCAGAGCTCAGTGACCTCACACTGTTCCTGCAGGAGCATCTGTCAGTGCAGACCTCATCCCGTGTCAGGATCTGGGAGGTGAGGGCAGGACTCACCTCGGAGGTGGAGAGTCGTTCACCTACATCCACAGACCTGCAGCACCTCCCTGTTCTGTCCAGGCTGATGGGCTCGGGGATGGAGCCCAGGGCAGGACTGGGAGCGATGCTCTGGATGGGGCAGTGCCAGAGGGAGGCACCTCCAGGCAGGACTCACTGGCTGTGCCCATTCCTCCCTGGTTCCCATGGATCTCTCCAGGAGAACTGGCCTGGTGCCCTGACTCGATGCCCGTCAGGAAGGCACAGCATCAGTTGCCATGTCAGCAGGGACAAAACACCCGTGTGAGGGCTCTAGAGGCAGGAAATGAGCAGATGAAGGGACAGTTTCACTTCAGTTCCCCTTTGGGCCCACTCTGCCTCCCTGGCAGCGAGGGGAGGTGATGGCTCTATAGAGGGCTGGAGAGGTTATTTATAGAGCTCTGTGCTTTGCAAGAAGGTTGGAGGGGGATGTCAGCAACTTCAGTTGGCAATGGGGGCAGCAGGGCAGGGGTGGAGAATGTGGCTCTTCCCTGTTCTCTGAACAGACTCAGAGTTCCAGGAAAACTGCTGGTACCACTGGAATCATCACTACAGACTGTACAGAGCTGTGAGCACGGCACGGGATCAGTGTGCTCTGCTCTGGGGACAGGAGATGAAAGAGGGGATGTGTGGGGGACAACTGTCACAGCCAACTGCACAGAGCAAACCTCCTCCAGCCTGTGGAATCACACCAAACAGGCCTATTTCCTAACCTTGAATAAAATTCAGCTGTAACTTAGCAACCCAGCCCGGTTAAGGCATCCCAACAGGAATGCAGGTCCTGAGGAGATGCAGCCTTGCATTCCTTTTGTTCCCAAACCTTAGGAACAACTCTGACCAGAAAGCAGCTCCTGCCCATGGCCATGGAGTCACCCTCCTCCTGGGCCAGGGAAAATCTGCCAGTGTCAGCCAGACCCACATGACAGATGAACTAAAGGTTTCCCTAACCAAACATGAGTCACCCTTGACCACAGAAGTGGCACAGAAGTGACTCAGGGACCACTCCTGCCAAGGGAGGCACTGAAACGCTGAAGGAAACAGGCCCTAAAGGCAGCTCAGACCTGCCATCAAGGTGTGCTTCTGTGGCTGCTACTCACCAGGTGCCCCCAGAAGCCTCAGGGACCTGGTGGATAGTCCAAGCCTTGATGTTTGCATTTTTCCCCTGACACAAATCCTCCCTTTGACAGTGCTTTGTAGCAGCCTTGTCAAAGCACACTGACCTGGGGCACAGGAGGGGAGGGACACATGGTGAGCCATGGCTGGGAGCAGGGCAGGAAGGGACATCCCATCCCCAAGACTTCCCAGTCTTCCTGTACCATCACCTGAAAACCCACCACACTCCCCATGGGCTGAGGGTGCCCCAAGGCATCAGATCAGCAGCTGGATCCAAACCAAGCCCCCCCAGCAGCTGCTGACTCCACACGAATGCATGAGGATCTGCCCTTGGAGCTCCAGGCCCCTCGTGCTGCAGACACTGCCCCATTCCCTCTGCCCTGTCATGGGAACACTGACCTCGTGGCACACCAGGACCTCCTCAGGCTGCTCTGCCACCCCATGCCAGGTCCTGGGAAACACAGCCCCCTGGAGCAGGATCCACCCAATCCCAGGGAAAGCACTTGGAACAACCTGTGACTTCTCAATAAAGGTAGCAAACTCTTCGTAATAAACTTATTCTTTATATGGATTTACAGAGCTACATGGAACATAGAAAGAGCACCAAGCCATTGAAGCTGGTTCTACAAACCAGGCTGAGTACAAAAGGAGGACTGCAATGCCTGACTCTGCGCCGCTGGACGGTTAGAAAAGCTCCCCCAGACCCCACAGAGTTTAAAAAGGTGTAAGAACGAAGGCACTGGTGTTTGAGAGAATTTCTATGGCAGCAGTGATGACAGTGGTACCACGTTCTGGACAAATGAGGCTGCTTTCTCTTTATTCCCTGTGTGTTACAGTGGCAGGAGCTGCTGAGTCTCCTGCCCAAACACCCAACCTTCGCCCCCAAAACATGGGGTAAGAGTCACCTCCACACAGGATACTCCCCATAGAATGGAAAGACCTCCCAGTGTTTTGTTCCTGGAGAAATCTGCTCCCTCCACCCATTCTGATGGATGTTCAGCAGCAGGAGATCCACATGGAGACTCCAGGGTCCTGCAGGATGCCAGGTGGCTCCCAGGAGAGGTGCAGCCCCTGCCAGGTGAGCAGGGACTGGCACAAGGAACACCTGGACTTGGCATCACCTGCCCAGGGGGAGCAGGGCTCAGCCAGCCCAGAGCCTGGCACAGCTCTCTCCGTGCATCCTCCCTCGGGGTGTTCTCCTCAGGAAGAACAAAACCCACAGGGTACAGGGCTCCAACCAACACTGGCTCCTCCCTGCAGGTGTCCCTGTCCCATGCCAGGTCTCTGCTGCCTCAGGAGCTGTGGCACAGCCTCGGGAAGAGCAGAGCAGCAGCACTGCTGCCAAGCCTGACCTGCCACACACGGGTGCCATTTCCTTGGAAACAAACACCCTTTGCTGGACAGAAAGCAGCTCAGTAACCAAGTGACTGCAGACACCAGAGACGAGGCAGCGCGCCCGGGACCGAGGGCAGCGACGTGGCACTGCCCGTGCTGACACAGCTCTGTTCGACACGAGCACAGACATTGCAGCTGCCCAGCACAGACATTCAGCCCTCAAAGCCCTCCCAAAGCTGCTCCTAATAGCCATGGAGCAGTCCCCGTGGCTGCAGCCACAGCAAAGCGCCTTCGGAAGATTCCTATATTCGTTATTTTCCACCCACGTTCCCCCCACCCCCCGAAATCATAAAGCACACAAACTGCAGACTTAAAAGTGTAACAGGGTCACAACCTCTCTCCGTCCCTCCAGCCCAGCCCAAAGCTCCAAGGCACGTCAGGCTGCCTCCCTCCCTCCAGGCCCACCTCCACCTCACCTGGAAGGTGAAGCCAACACAATCCCTTTCCTCACTGGGAAGTAGCAAGTGCTTTCATCCCTGTGCTGGTAAAAACAAACTCTAACAAAGTACACCGAGCTGCCACCCTAATGTTTCCATGGGAAATGGTATGCCTAAGCACATTCCCTGATGGATGCTGCCACCAGTTGGCCTTTGGGGCGCTGAGGTCACGCTCTGTGCCCCAGGCTCTGGCAGAGACCCCCAGCCCTCCCACGGGGTCTCTGTGGAAGGCTCACTTTGGTGCAATTCCAGCTTCCCACCAGCTCAAGCCCATCTTCTTTCCAAGCCAGCATTATTGCCCTGAATTAGTGTGTGTGAAGAGTTCAGAAAGAAGAGCAAACAGATACGTGCAACCCCCAACCCTCGGAGCCAGGCCCATGCCCTGCTCCTCCCACCACCAGCGCGGGGCCTGTCCCCTGCAGAGGTCCATGTCCACAGCTGCTGCTCCCCTGCTCCTCCTCAGTGCTCCGAGTCTGAGACGTACGAGGGCTGAGTCCATCTCCACACCAGCATGTCCTCCCCTGCCACCCTGTGGGACTCGGTCTGGATCCGCGACTCGTTCGAGGCCAGGAAGTCCACGGCTCTCTCCCACACTCGCTTCATCTTCTTCCTGCAACAGACAGAGGAGAAAGGAGGTAAAAAACCAGAACCTGACTGAAGCTCCTGTGTGACTGCACAACATACAGGACGGTCACCTCCAGCTGCCGCAGGTTACGGCACAGCCTGAGCGGTGTCCAAGCCTTTCCAAAGCCCAAGGCCAGACCCTGGGAGCTGCTCAGCTCCTGCAGCTCCAGGCTGTGCTGAACCCTGCTGCTCACCTACTCTGAGGAGGGATCAGGCTGTCCCGGACGTGGAAGATGCCAACGTAGGGGTAACGCTCCAAATTCCGCTCCCATTCCTTGTAGTGGTCGTGGACAACAGCTGAGGGCAGGAGGAGAGAACAGTGAGAGCTCAGCACTGCAGGGACGACAGCAGAGTGACCTCTATTCACAGAGCTCCTACCTATGATCTTCTTCACCATCTCATACATGGCTTGTTCCTCCTCCTCCATCTTCCGCCAGCGATACCTGAGGAAGAGGAGGATCCCCCAGAGAGTCACCAGGCCTAGAACAGAAACAGACAGAATTCAATAGCTGGCAGTTGTGCACTTGCTGGATGCAGTTCTAGTTCTACTTGCCCCCGAAGCAGCTTTCACTCCCTGTGACCCAGGCCTGCTTGGAACCGAATCCAAGTGATTCCTTTTGCTCCCCTGCAGCAGGAGAGCACGTGGGGGTGTGGGATGAGGTGGGCACAAGGCCTCAGCACACACCTGAACCACCAGCACAGCCACAGGCCCCCAGCAAGCCAGGGCTGAGCAGAGCAGAGCCTTGGCCTCCCCCACAACAATCACTTTGGAAGACTGTCAGGCTCCACTGCTCCAGGGAGAGCTGCTGGATAAGGAAATACAGCCTGGGGCTCCAGAGCCAGCCCAGAATTCAGGAGATCTGTGCAAAGGTTTAGCACTGACAAGTGCCCCCTCAGGACATGAGCTGACTTTAGCATCTCAGTCTCCACACTACACACAAGTGTCCCCAGCCACCCCCTCGTGCTGGGCTGGATCACACTCCAGTCACACAGCTCCTGTTATCACCTCTGTCTCAGCTGAGGCATGACAGACTGCTCCAATAAACCCTCCAACCCTGAAATGCTACAAGTCATTATTAAAGAGGCTGAAGACTTTTGGAGCTCAGAGCAAGAAAAACTGACTCCTTTAGGTAAGTTAACACACTTATTTTGCAACCCATAATAATGGGTACTGGAGGAATACCCAGAGAGCTAATCAGGCTGATTTAAAGCAGGTTTTAAGCCCTCAGAGCACAGAGGCAGAGCTGTGGGTCTCCCTGTGCTGCCAGAACAAAGGTTAATTAGACATTAACTCATCAGCAGATTTATTTCACCTCAGTTAGTCACTTCCCAGGGCTGGAGAACGTGTGTGCACACAGGTTCACCCCTGCTGTGCAGGGAGAGGCTGAGCACGGGCACCAACTTACTCCAGAAGAAGAGGAAGAGGTTCATGATGGCTGTGACCATGGCGCGGCGGAAGCGGCAGCCCAGCCCCATCTGTGGGTGGGCAGACTCCAGGCAGAACACCTCCTCCACGCTGGAAACCACCTCCGAGAGCTCTCTGTCTTTCAGCCTGAGGGAAGAGGCAGAGTCTAGCTGACTCCAACTGCAGTCCTTAATCAAGGCAGGAGAACAAACAGACTGCAGATGCAGTAACTCCTCCTGTGTGCGGGGACCGGCTGCTTAGCCAGGGATGGATATGGCTTCGGAAAGGGTTGGCACTCCCACTGGCACACTCAGGTCTCCCTCCACAGCCTCTCTGTCAGCCCCTTCTCGGCGTGCACGAGATTAAACTCTAAATTGGATTCCCACCTCCCGGCACGGAGATGGAAGCGATCCCGGAGTCGTGCAGGGAGGGCTGGGGGAGGCCAGGAGGGATGGGAGCTCTCCTCAGAGCTGAGAGCAGCAACAGCTAAAGCAGCGACAGAGCAGCTGCTGTAAGGGCTGTGTCTGCCCCTGCAGAGCCCCCAGCCTGCTCCCCTGAGCCCCAGCCTGCCCCAAGCTCACTTCACACAGACCCACTCGTTCCCTCAGCATCGAGGGATGCAGGTGAGAGCCACCAGACCCAGGGGAACTGGACCAAAGGGGATGCTAATTTATAAGCTCCCGATTCTCTTTGCTCCGAACAACCCTCTAGACAAAGAGGTTTTCCCAATTCACTAGCTCACACACTGCTGACAGCTTGGGTTCAGTTCTGGATGCTACAGCAGCTGGAGACACAGTTGTTCCCCACCCCCTAGTTTTATTTACAATCCAAATGCCGTGACAATATTTAAAACATGCAGCAGAATCACCCAGTGCAGAGCTCGTTTTCAGCCCTGCCTCAGACTAGCACCCAGGAAAACAATCTCCTGCAGCTAAAGGTGCCAGGGGCAGGTCTGGGGGATGCTGCACACTCCAGCACACCACACAGACCCTGTGGGGAACAGCCAGCAGAGCTGCTGCTGCTGCAAACAGAAAGTGGGAGCACATTGTGTCCCACAGTTCCTGACTCGGGCAGTGCTCAGCACAGGAACAGGAGCTTTGGATCCCAACCCACCCACAGACCAAACCCTGTGGAACGCACAGCCCGTCCTGGGGATTTGCACACATGAGTCAGAGCAGCAGGGGCTGTCTCATTCCTGGATCACAGCAGCAGCTGCAGGAATATTTAAGAGCAAACCAGCAATGGGAATTCCTACAAGCTTTGCCCACCAACCCCAGCACTACTAGTGCTGCAGTTCCGTTCATCAGAGCCACGTTTAGCAACGTTAGAGGCAAACAACTGTGAGACCTCGGAGCTAGCACAGACTGGAGGCAGCCCACACTTCCCAGAGGAAGGGGATGATGGCTGTGGACTCTGAATAACACTCTCTCTCGGGTTACAGACTGAATGTTGTTTTTCCCTGAAAACCCCTGGAATTGCTGCTGTTTCTCATGTGCTGAGCCTGCTGGCCAAGAAACACCTCCCCAGTGACCAAGCACCCTCCCCAGGCAGTCAGACCACCGTTCAGGAGGAATTTCTCCATGGAAAGGGCTGCCCAGGCTGGTGGTAGAGTCACCCTCCCTGGAGGTGTTCAAGGAACAACTGGACATGGCACTGGTCTAGCAGACAAGGTGGGGATCAGTCACAGGTTGGACCTGATAATCCTTCCAGCCACAGTGACTCTGGGATTCTGGGACTGACTGTGCACTAGCTCTTTCTGACACTAAAGGTGTCATTCAACATCCATTTTCCTCTCCTCCTCCTCAGGACTGGCTCCAAAGGATCCCAAAGTGTGGGTGATGTTACCTACTGCACAGAGGGCTTTGCTGGCCAGTGAACCCTTTTGGTCTATGGATGCAGCTCCACCCCAGTAACTGCTGGATTAAAGCTGTCCTGGGAAAAGGGACCACATGGACAAGCCTAACAAGTGCTGCAGTGGCAGGACACCAGGACCACCACCTGCAAACCTTGCAGGAGGCACAACACAACCCCTGATGGCCACGAGCTGCCCTGACCTGGTCACCAAGGCTCGAGACCCGCCCGGACACGATGTCCTGCGGCCCAGGCTGGGGAGGGATCAGCCTCCCCGGGTGAGCTCACTTGCCATTTTGCTGCAGGCCTGTACTTTTCCTCTGGAGGTTTGCCCAGCAAGCACTGCCAGAGCCAATCCCAGATCACCTCCTGAAGTCCCCTGGGGTCTGGAGCTAAAGGGCACCCACAGGTCCTGTCAAATTACACCCCAGAGCTGTAACTTTGACACGCAGAGCTTCACTTACCGGATTCCCAAATCCTTGTTGCTGTTCAGTATCCAGTGCAGGGCAGCTTCAAACTTCTGTGGGGAACTACCAGTCACATTCTGTGCAAGGAAGCCACAAGGAGATTAGTTCTCCATTCATTTAGAATACTGAGCAACACTATTTCATCACAGGAGTGGGAGAATTCACGCCACACAGCCCAATCCCAGGGTAATTCTTATCAGAACCCTGCACACTGGAGGAAGCAGAGCTGAACCTGAAGGTGTGCCTGGACTAAGCCTCCTGCCTGGGCAGATGATGCATGAAGCACTCTGTGAAATAACCACCCCAGACTGTTCGGATGAACCACTAAGCACAACCTAATCTTACTGACAGTTTACCAGGGAAGCAATGGAATGCTAGATCAGAGCACTCTGCCTCCTGACACTCCGAGGTATAGAAAAATCCTTCTCCTACCCAGCCCTCAATCCAGGGAAATTTCTGCTTTCACAAGACTGATGGCTCTGGAGAAACAACAAACCGTTCCGTGAGGATTTACGGGGGCTGGATCAGAGACGGAGGAGAAAATGATTTTCAAAAGAACTGCTGAGAACAGGACTGGCCAGAGGGGAAGGGAGAGAGATGGGAAGGAATCAAGCCAGGATGAGGAAGTAAAAGGGGTGAGGCATTGCTTTAGTGGCTGTTATTTATTGCCCTGTAAGAGACTCAGCACCAGGCTGTAACAAAGCTGCCCACAGCCTACTCACCATGACGTGATCCTTCGCCTCACTAACCCAAATGCATTTGCTCTTGAGGTTCTCAGGGTTTCCACATTCGAAATTACCTGGTAAAAAAGTCAAACAGAAATAATGTCTGGGAAAAAGCCCTTGAACAGCTCTGAACTACCCTGTGAATTCACACCAAGAGCTGCTCTGCTCTCCCATCAGCTGCAGCCCTGAGCCAAATGACTCCAGGGTGAGATTTATACTGCAGAGACATCAGATTATGACTATGAATAAAATGCTCAGCCGCTGCACACAGGTTGGGTAAGGGCAATCAAACCTCACACTTCAGAGCTGCTGCTGGGTAAGGGCAATCAAACCACACACTTCAGAGCTGCTGAGCACAGAACGAGGGGGAAAACAGTCTGTGTCCCTGGCAGAGTGCAGAGGTGTCCTGCCATCAGCAGCCAGAGCCTGTGGTGTGGAGCTAATGATCAGCATCCAAAGTGCTCCTGAGGAGCCCAGATCACAGCTCTGCCTCTTGCCCAGGCCGAGAAACGCTGGTGACGAGCTAAATCCTCCAAATCTCCCTTCACCGAGTTGGCTAAACAAACATGCTAAGAGCCTGAGTAAATCTGGTGGAAATCCAGCAGGTGCCAAAGTCAGATTTGAAAAGATTTAGGAATTCTGTGCAGCTTCAGAATACAAAGGCTTCAGCCCTGAGGCGTGAAATCCAGAAAATGGAACAGAATCACTTTCACTGATGGATGCTGCTGTGGGTCCTGCTGGACAAGTCTCCACTCACACACTGGAGCTACCTCAGCCTTCTCCATCCCCACGTGCCAGTGATGGGCTGGATTCACCCCTGCAGTGCAGGCTGTGCTGGGCCAGCTCCTCAGCTGAGCCTGTCCTGCGCTGCAGGGAGGAAACAGAGCCTGCCACAGTTCAGCAGAGAGGACAATTTCTTCAGTCCCTTTAAATCAACTCGTAAGAACACTCCAGCTCACACTTACTGGCTCTGAGAGTGCCTTGAAGACCATCTCAAGCTGCTGGTAGAAACAAATCATCAAACTGCCTATTTCTACCTCAAATTCCTCATCTCTCGAGTGCCAACAAGACCCACTCAGCAGGACACAGTGATACAAGTGCATTAGCTGAGCACCACTCAGAACAGAAATAAACCATCTTTGTCTGCTTCCCCATTACCTGAGTGCCCCCAATCCCCCAGGGAACTCACTGTTCCACCAGCCTCCTTCCAAACTGAGGGGGAAACCACCAGCCAGCTGGGAGAGGCCACTCCTGCACGCTCAGGAGGGATTTATAGGGTGATTGGAACTCACCTGCCTGCAAGGACAGGTAGTTGTAGAGCTCGTGCAGCACAGCCATGACCACATCCTTCTGCTTGGCCCGGCAGAACTGTGAGTCAGAGACAGGGAACAAGTGTCAGCACCACAGTGGGACAGTCTCAGAGCAGCTACAGACACCAGCACAACACCAGCACTGCAGTCTGGCTCAGTCCTGCACCTCCAGCTCAGACCAAACACACCTGCAGCAAAGGTTGGCAGGCCTGAGTCACAAGGAGCTGGTGAGTCCTCTAGAACCTCCTGCCCACAGCAGGGGTGGGACTGGGTGAGCTTTAAGGTCCCTCCCAGCCAAAACCAGTCTGGGATTCTATACAGTGTGGAATGGTTTAGGTTGGAAGGACCTTAAAGCTCATCCTACTCCATGGGCAGACACCTCCCACCAGCCCAGGGTGCTCCAAGCTCCATCCAACCTGGTCTGGACGCTCCCAGGGATGGAGCAGCCACAGCTCCTCCAACAACCCACCCCGAGAGACAAACCAGTGCAGACACTCCATGGTGGAGTTCTGGGAATTAGCTGGATTAAATCTTGTTCTGTTAAAGCTGCAAACAGCTTTACTGCAACCCAATATCACTTCTGGCACAACTGTTACAGGAATGGATTCACATAATTGGGAATTTAGACTTTTATCTCTCAGAGTCTCACACACGCTCTTAATTTAATCCAGGCCATTAATTCCCACTCATCAAGCCTCAGTTTTTCTGTAAAACAACAGAACTAATCACTTTACAGTGATACTTTATGGGTGGAGGTTCCCTAGAACCATCACTGCTCTGTGAGAATCCCCAAGACTTGAAGATAAAGAAATAAATACTTACATCATCTCTGCTCTCATCACAATCCACAGGCAAGAGATTAACTAGGGAGAGAAGAGGACAAGTTACCTGGCTGCAACAGAAGAGCTTTGATCAAGACAATCATTAGCTCCCATGGGCACAGTGTGCCAAGGCTCAGGACTGGCACCTTTCAACACCTCCCAAACCCTCTCTGTTCAACTCAAAGCCCTGAAACGTTTGTATTTCCAGCTGGAGAACTCTGCTTTAAAGCCCAGGTGATGGGGAAAGCCCTTTTCACTTCTCATGGAAGCTCTGCCACACTTGGGAGTGCCCAATTCACCCTCTCACTGCCCCCGTGGATGGGAGAAAGGGAACCCTGAGGGACCCTGAGAAGAGCTGTGCTAGCAGAGGGAACACCAAACCACACACCAGGGATCACAGACATCCTTGGCCCAGCAGG